TCCCTATAGCCAATACCTTGGTTATATTGTCCTACTTTCACTTACTTGTCAGCCATAGGTCGACCATTGATGGACAGAGCCGACAGAAGACCTTGTTATATGACATCATATTGAGGGTGCATGACGGTCCTACTAAACCGAGGGAAGTAAGCTGCTGGTTCCTCGACAAAAGCAATGGGATGTTCTCATAGGGTTTTGGAAAAATAGCTGGAAATATAGTCCTGTGGAAAACAAACCTGTTGATAAATGCACGTTTTGCTTCAGCCGGATGAATATCCACATGTCACCTACTTTATAATTTTCGAATCATATAATCTAATCCGATAGATTATAAAGGGTTTTTTAGGACCCGTCACTGCACCACTAGAAAACAAACTCCATCGATCAAGCTGGCTGAAACTTTCTCTCCCTCTTCTTCTCATGCTACCTGTCACTCCCTTTAACTCCTCCGGTGACTTTCTTTTATTGAAGATAGTTTTGCCCGGCGCTCACGGCAATACGGGAGCCTGCCTCGCGCTGGCTCCGCAGTAACAGCGTTTGCTTTCACGCCAACAACGACAACCGCTCACGAAAACGCTTGTTGTAGCGTTAATAACGCAAACAATTTAACAACATGCTTGTCAAAATACCTATACACATTGGACAATTTTATTTTTTTTTTAGCAATATATTTTTAGTGCCCGAAGCGGGCAAGTGGACAGTACGCTTATGTCTGGCCCGGGAGTGTCTAAATAGTGCTTCCGAGCCAGCGGGCATTTATAATGTCGAGCCCTGCTCTCTGTCACTGTGGATGGTTGGTAATGTTTGTGTGCAAGTAGACGGGCTGCGTATGTGCCTGCCGTGTGTGACGTCTATGAGGGAGAAAGGAAAGCTCATTTTGGCGCGGCGGGAAATTGATTTGACAACATAATACTCGATGTTCATCGATGTGTCATTTACGACATCGCTTGTAGCTGCAATCCGACTGATGTATCGTGTAAACTCGATAATCGCCAGTCCTAAGTTCGAAGTAGATCCACGGGAACTCTTTTTGAAATTACCTGCTTGTTCATCTTTAGTCTGTGTTGTTCTCACCTGTTCTGAATATCTGCCAATAAATCAATCGCACGTGTGATGGAGAGGCGGGCGCGGGGGGGCGGGGTCGGTGTGTAGCAGCTCAGCCTGCGCTCGGCTTCCGTCCAAGTTTACAGTAAAACAAACTGGTGGTGTGACCAATGGCCATTTACAATTATTAATACTATTAATATTATTAGCATTAGTCTATCTATTTTGGTAAACTAATTCAGGAAAAAAAAGAAACATAAATATATAAAAAATATATAAATAAAACGAATAAAAAAAGAAGAAAAAGAAGATCGATTATGGAACTGTAAAGAAAAATCAATAATCAGCTGGCATCCCTACTTAGTACCCCAGGGCATGAGCCTAAGTACAGATCGCGTTCACGACGGAATAAGTTCCTTGAGGGAAGATTACCGCAAACGAGCTCGCTGATGTCACTTCGCTTCCTTCTGCTTTGGGTTTACTGGCAGGCGCAAACCACTTCAACGGCGTATACTGCCTACCGAAGTCCCAGCCGGAAGTTCCCGGAGTTGGGTCGGCTTCAGTAGAAGCTGCTGGGACTCCCCAGCAGCTTCTACGAAGCCTTCATCCGAGTAAATCGCCAGAACGCCGAACCTCCTCTCTCACGCTCCCATGTTTTTTTTTCTGTGTTGCCATAAGTTAGTCTCTCTTCGTTGGTGCGCGGGGCTAATGCTAATAATGCTAATGCCAGCAAATACAATAGCGGCTTCACAAAACATTTTTCAGAGTTTTACGGGGCGTGGTTTGCAATTCGCCCAGCCAATAGAAATTGGTACTTTTCTCCCCAGGATAGTACCACCTCTCGAGCAGGCACTAAACATGCGGGTAAAAGTTCCCGGCACTAAGTAATCTTTTTGGTGTGAGCGCGACAAGAGGGGTACTAACGGAACTAAACGGGAAAAGTACGGGGAAAAGTACTCCGGTGTGAACGCGCCTATTTACTTGCACTCGATTTGTCATCTCTTTTAACAATTTTCTTCCCTCACTATATCTTCTCTTCACGTGAAGCTCTCCTCTCCTCAGCTGGTGTAGTAGTTAGGGAAGCTAACGCTAGCTGCGTAAATATGACGCTCTTTGTATAAAAACAAAACTTACCTTCTTATATATCGACTTTGTCCACTTCAATCAACTTTGTTTCCTCCGGCTTCAATTTCCATCACTCTTGTTTGTTCTCTCTATGTCTGGTCAGACATCAATCTGTTGCACGTAGCGCGCCCCCTAGAGGCTTGGAGCACTGTGTGTTTTTGGGTTTGTATGTCTTTTGGGGTTTGTATGTGTTTTTTGACTTTGCATATCGTTTTTGTTTTTGCAGCGTTTTTCTGTTGCGTTTGTTTTCGGGGTTTGTGTGTTGTATTTAGTTTGCATAATTTCTGTAAATGCAGCGTTTTTTTGTTGGATTTGTTTGTTTTTCATGTAATTATTTGCAGCTGTTCTGCATTTGCACCTGCCGGCCACCGTACCTCTGAACTTTACAAATAAAACAAGGCAACCTGAGGTGAAGCCAGTTACTGACAGTAGGGCTGCACAATTATTATTTTTTCATTATGATCTCTACCAAACAAGGATTTGTAATGTAATGATATTTTCACATAATTTGCCCTTATCAAACAATGTGCTTACTGCGATTTGGAAATTACAGTAGAAATAATCAAATATTGTGTGGCAATAACTGAAAGTTGCAAACAATGCACTGAGTTAACATGTCCTATATTCAGATGATTAATGCAAATATCTTTCTGTTGACCAAGTGCGGATGGTTTCTATAATTTGTATTTAATGTTAAAAGTCCTGTGGGAAGTTAGCCCTCTGAGTTAAAAGAAAGAATTTGCTCGGATTCTCTGACTCTTTTGATGATATTCTGGACTGTAGATGAGGATATTCTTTGCAATTTTACATTGAGAAACGTTGTTCTTAAATTGTTGGACTATTGGCTCACGCAGTTGTTAACAAAGTGGCAAACCTGGCCCCATCCTTGCTTGTAAACGACTGAGCCTTTCAGGGATGCTTCTTTTATACCCAAGCATGACACTCACCCAATGGACCTGTTCCCCTGTGGAATATTCCATTTAGCATTACTTAACTTTCCCAGTCTTTTGTGACCCCTGTCCCAGCATTTTTGGAACGTGTTGCAGGCATCAAATTCAAAATGAGTGAATATTTGCAAGAAATTTTTTTTTTTATCAGTGTGAACATTATACATGTTGTCGTTGTAGTGTATTCAATTGAATTCAAGTCTACAAAAGGATTTGCAAATCATTGTTTTATTATTTGTTCAACTTCAATCGGAATTGGTGTTTGTAAATGGTACTTGGCTTAACCTTTTAACCTCCTTCCCTAATATTTTCTAAGATGATTGGCAACAAAAGCTTCTCTAGTTAGCCCAGCATAAAACTAATAGATGATGATAGGTTGCTCGGCTTGGTCTCTTAAGAGTAGACTTGTCCTCAAAGACCGGAGAATTTCACCAAACGGATTGTGCACACCAGCTTATAGTATATTTATAACATGAACTTAAACATGATGCCAGGGTTGACTGTTTTCTCATGAGAGTATAAATTGAGTGACACTGTGTTTTGAGTAAAATGAGTTTGTAGATCTTAGTTTAATGAAAACAAGCAACAACTCAGCCCACGTTGGACTCAGGTACAGTATATAGAAAATATGATACAGTTGATAGTAATAAAAATAAATACATTGTGAGCCTATTAACATGCTGTTCAATATGTTAAGTTAGTGCTTAACATTTGTATATTATTTATCATTAGTGTTATGCAATAAAAACCACTATAGTTATCTGCGTTTTTACTTTAATGCATTGGAGAAGATGGTAAGTGTGATAAGAATGTGTAGACATTGCAATGATTTAATGTGAGCGGTATTATACAAGTTTCCTTGTTGTGTCCCAGAAGGTTAAATCTGTAAACGGTGTTTTTGTTTTCATGGTTTTCAGTAATTCAGTGTTGCATAATGTTGCTTTGCTCTACCGTCCTGAAAGAAAAGCACAGCAGGACTACAGTAACGAGGTGCAATTTCTTAGAAATGTTTAACAAAAAAACAACAAACAACATAAGGAGTGCGCCAAAAAGGACTTCAACTGAAAGCTACTTCTAAAATGAGAAATTAAATCTTGTTCATCTGTAATAGTATATCTCTGCTTTCCACCTCACAGCCTCGCTGTGCACACCAACAGTAATTTCCGACGCGTTCCTGCCCTTGGTTTGGAGCCCAGTGCAACATTGTCCGTTGCCAACAGCACCAGAGGGACCCATTTCATATTTGGACCTGCGTCGTCGTCTGCTGCTGCTGCTGCTGCTGCTGCTGCTGCTGCTGCTGCTGTGACTGCTCTGACATTGGCTCAGATTGAGACTAGGGCGCAAATTGCCCTCCAGCAGGTTGCCACTCTTGCAACCATAACTATTGGCAACCAGTATCACAACAACGGATTGTCAGTAGCATTGCTTCCTCATCTGGCTCTCCTGAACTTTCATCAGGTATATGCGGTTGGGGCAAACATTAACAACAAAATCTACAGAAAAAATCAACGGAATCCGTCTTCTGCCATGTACCACCACCACAACCAGCAACAAGGGCCACCGCCCTTCTCTAATGGGTCAAGGCCTCCCCATCATCAGCCAGCTCAAACTCCACATGCAAATCGTTCTCCCTCCAATATGTTGTCCATGGGTTTCCAGTTTCCTCGTCCCACCCAGCTCCCTGCGGAGCTAGAGTCTGCCCTGGCTATCCGGGGTGCTAGGGACATGGACCACCGCCTCATTGACCACACAAACCGACAGAACCAAGGCTCAGGTTCTGGTATCAGCCAACATGGAAGCTACGGCTCCAACCAAATAACACCTACCCCTGATAATCAGCCTGACCATCAGCAAGGAGTAGACTGGTCAAACTACCAACCTCCATCTAAACTGTTTGCCAGTCCTCCACCTAGTAATAGCCACCAGTCCCAGCGACACCAGGGGCCTCAACAGCAGCCACAGAGCAGCCATGCTGGAACAAGCATGCCAAACTGGAATACCACTGACTCTGCTTCATCCACAGCGCGACATCCCCATGGTGGCAGGAGTGGTGGCGGTGGGGATGGTCAGGCTTTGTACACGCCTGAGAGTGCAGGAAGCATCTTGGCTAGCTTTGGACTTTCTAATGAGGACTTGGAAGTGCTGAGTCACTACCCAGATGATCAGCTTACCCCAGATACTTTACCATTCATACTCCGTGACATCCAGATCAACAAGTCAGGCACCCAGAAGACTGTGGCTCCCACAACCTCCTCTGCGTTCTCACGTGGGATCCATGATCCGTCTGCTTCCAACTCTTCAAAATTGGCGCGTTCACGCTCACCGGAAGTGCCCAGTCTGTTGACTGTTACACAGACAGCAGGTAAAGTCATCGACTATGGTCATGCAAGTCGGGCAAAGGAGGAGAACGATACCAGAGAAACTTTTAAAAGAGAGCCACTCTCCAGCGAAAGGACAGTTAAAATGTTCCCATCTTCATCAGCCTCATCGGCTCCAAAATTAGAAAAAACTGAAAAGCGACAGGTTCGTTTGGAACACAGTGAATCAAGCAAGCACGGAGACCGGGACTATCGCAGGGCGGATAGCGACCATCGCAAGAGCAATCGAGCATCAGGGGGAAGATTTACACCATCATCCAAATCTCGTAATCTAAACCAAGACTACAGGCGTGAAGGACCCAAACCTAGGCCCTCACCTGAAACCAAGAACGAAGCTTCCTCGAGGCGGTCTCTCTCCTCTTCATCTGGCTCCCAACCTCACAGCAGCAGCAGCAGCAAGAAGTTACCTACTCCCATCATGATAAGTGATTTCTCAGCTGTGTCTCCAAAGGTGTATCCCCATACCTGCTCCCTGTGCCACACTCAGTGTGATCAGGAAAAGGTGAGTGCCAAAAATGCCCTCCTAATGATTTCTGAAAGGAAAACCTTAATTTGTATGTTAGTTTTTATCCTATATTTCACCAGGCCGTTAGAGATGACAGTGATTATGTTGTCATTTAAGTTGTGTTTTACATGTTTTTTTTCCACTGAAATAGTTGGGAACTGTTGCTATAATGACCCACCTAGCTTGTAGAAGCCAACCTTTTTGTTTCGAATAATCAATACAAACTATTTATACCCTACATTGTGGTGACTGCATTTGGCCACCATCATGCCTGGTAGATATAGTGAGGGCTGAAGTGAGTTCCGATGCAGCACTGCTAATTGCTGATAAAAACACTTAATACAATCTTCTCATGTCTCTTGTTTTTGGTGGAACAATTATTGAATTGTTCCATTAAGAACATTTGTTAACACTAAACTCACAAAAGTTGGTTTAAACTTATATAAGACTATATATATATATATATATATATATATATATATGTATGTCCTTTATTCAACAGAGATTTCAGTTTTTCTCTGAGAAAGTCTAGTGCTCTGGTTTCTCATGTTCTCAAATGGTGTTGGTTTGACAATAAGGAGAAATAACTTTTTTTTCCCTTTACGTTCCTTCAGTAATGTTACAGTAATTACTTGACGTGAGTGGGACTATCTTATTGTATAATGCCAAGGGTGAAATTTAAAACGGTCCAGTACATGTGGAACCAATTTAACTGCCATTTATGTCAGCCTAATTTCCTGAATCTATTGGTCTAAAGATTTCCCTCACATCTACAAAAATGTCCTTATAAAAAATAATAAGCATTCTACCCTAATGAATAGTTGGTCGCTTAAGGCCTTTGCCATCATAGCGCCTTTTCTGAGCTTTTTCTAATTGACTCAAATCAGAACAGAGCACATGCCCTCGAATGCAACCGCCTCGTGAAGAAGCACTCAACCCAAACTTTTTTCGGAGCACTCCGCTATTTTTGTGTGGCCACTTCAGGAGCTTTGAGTTGGAAATATTTTCACTCTCAGATAAGTGCAGTAACGTCACTGTAGAAATAGGAGGAGAGGCTTGTTTTCGGTATGTCTTTCAGACAGAAACCCTAAAACAAAGACAGAAAAGCCCATCTGTGGGTGTTGAACTTTTACCAGCGTGCAAGGATCGTACTCCCCTCTCTAGGCTGACAGACTGAGCACCCTGCCAGCTATTTCCTGCCAGTAGAGGCGCTATGTGGACACATGCCCTAAAATTGATTGATCAATTCTATATACTGCGCCTCTGGAGAAAGTAAACTAGTTAAATATAGGGATTTTTTATTTTTTACTTTGCTGTCTTGAATTTCATATAGCATAGGTAACAGATTGGTGGATGAACAGATCATAAGGTAATAATTTGTTGAATAATTTGTTTGATTTGTGGTCATTACTTGGGACATAATAAGTTAACCGAACAGCATTTGGTCCAAGAAGATTAAAAACTATTTGTTTGTTTCTGCTAGTGTAGTGTGTTAATGGGGTAAACGTATGGTCACAGTGAAGATAATGGAAAGTAGAATGCAGAATATGTCTTACAGGACTATATTTATGCGAAACAGAAATGCAAAACAATAATTAGTTATTGAAACTAAAGGAAGTCAAAGATCCAATCATGATTCTGTCTCTGTACTTACTATTTATACTAATCATTATTTCAATGTAGATGGCCTGGTTAAATGGTTGCTTACTCATTTGTTTAACTTTATACCTGTGAATTGTGATAATGGTTTTGTTGCTGAATATTTATGTTGGTGTCAGATTGTGATATATTCCTCTCCCATTTGTCGTTTTTCTGCAGGACTGGTTTTACCATATAAACACCGTCAACCACACTGCTGCCTGCAGAGACCTGCTCAACAAGTGAGGGCACTACTAATGTTCTGCTAAAGTCTTAAATTCATCAGTATATATTCACTATTATGCTGTAGCTACTCAGAAAAAAGCGTGTCAACATTAAAAAAGGAATTTCTAAAGAGAATGAAACAAGATATGGGAAACACAACCCAGAGAGTCTCTTAATGCTTTTGGTTCAATGGTCTTCTTTCACATCCAGAAGGGTGTACTACGAATTAGTTGGTTAGGAGGCATGTTGACCCAACACCAAGCCGTTTTCTGTTTTACCAAGGTGGCCCTGGACCAGGTTCAGAGTTTAGGCTTGAAATTAGCACTAACTAGATCCTTTGAAAATAACCTGGCTTTATAGTCAATCTGTAAGTGGTACCTATACTCAGCTGAGGGAATCATTTTTAAATGTAATCATGTTGAGCCATAAGATCACATTAATGCCACTAAGTAAAGCCTCGCAATTACAGTAGCATATACTGTATGCATCGCACTACCTTTCCTTCTCCGCTGCAACCTAGCCATTGGCCAAAACTGTCTTTTAAAATGTACTTCCTATAAATGTGCAGCTGGTATGCATTTATAATCGTCAGTATTCAGTATTCATTTTTGTGTGAAGTTGTGTTTCTAAGGTGTACCTTTTGCTGGTTTAGTTCACTGTACCCTGATAGAAAAGTCCTCGGTCTTAAGCTTTCTAAAGTCTACATTTCCCCCAGCTCTCTGGCACAGCTTAAGCTGGACTTGCTTTTGGCGTTACCTTTTTTCTTGGGAATTATTTAATGGGAGTGAGTGTGTGTGTGTGTGTGTGTGTGTGTGTGTGTGTGTGTGTGTGTGTGTGTGTGTGTGTGTGTGTGTGTGTGTGTTAGTAAAAGGTGTGTGCAGAGTTTGTGTTGGAGCTTTCAATCTAATCCCCTTCTTTATTGGCCTCGAGCAGCAGGGCCAGTCGGGAAATACAAAATAGTGTGTGTGTGTGTGTGTGTGTGTGTGTGTGTGTGTGTGTGTGTGTGTGTGTGTGTGTGTGTGTGTGTGTGTGTGTGTGTGTGTGTGTGTGTGTGTGTGTAGGTACCCTGACTGGAAACCAAATCCACCAAGGTGAGTTATACTCTTGTTGTTATGTTTCCAATAATCAGTTTTTAGCTGTGAGTCAGTCCCACACATTTAACAAAACGGCAAATTGACACGGATCATTTCGTTATCCTTTTCCAAAAAGTATTATTAATTTTTTTACATTTCTTGTGAATAAATGGGTTAGTGTATAAGTGAAGTATAGTTATTTTCATGTTTTAGAACCTAAAATATTCCTAAATTTTTCTTTCCCATCATTATTTTGCTCGCTAACAATGCAAATTGTATTAACAACAGTTTAGATGCCCTCACCAGTTCCTCCACTTGATGAATGTTTTCTTTTATCCATTAGGGGCGGACCACAGGGCAGCTCTCCATCCCACTCTGTGCCTCGGTCCCTCTCTGGTTCTCCTCCTGCCGGCAGACGCAGGCTCGTGCCCCATAGACCGCACACCAGGCCATACACCAGGCCGTACTCGCCTCACCAGCCTCGACACCAACCCTACACAGGTAGACTGTCTGCAAGAGAGTGACTCAACAAATTGGGGACATGTCAAACTTACTGCAAGAATTCCAATAATGTTAATAACATGTCATGAAGATTTTATATTAAATATCAATTTAGGATTTTAGGATTTAGAAATGTATTGAAATAGGCTTTTCTCTCTAATTTAGTATCCTTTGTTTACTTTAAACCTTACTACTAAAGGTACATTCATACATAGCTGTATTTGAATAAAAATACTGATTTAATTGTTTTAGTTTAGGTGAGCACTGCTCATTCATTATTGGACATACGGATTGCTTTAGACTCGGTAACATATGACTGGGATGAGAGACTCAACCATGTTCTTTTGCTCTCCTCAGAGCACAGCTATCGACCCGGCTCTCGCAGCCCCACTCGATCACACCAAGTCCCCCCTTTCTTCAGAGAGAACCGGCCTGAAAGGAGAGACAGTCAGGCATCAGGTAATGCCTGCAAGATTTGGAGACAACCATTTATTTGTTTGAAAATGTATAAACATATCCTGGCTTCATTCAACCTGTTTAAATTAGATAAACTATATTTTTCCAAAATTGAAAAAGCGTTTTGTCAAAGCAGCATGTTAACAAAAATGAGTTAAAAATAAAACAATATAAAAAGATACAAAATAAACAAACAATAAATATACACATATCAACAGTAGAAAGATATATATACAGGGTTCGTACGGTCATTGAAAACCTGGAAAAAGTCATGGAAATTCAAAATATAAATTCCAGGCCCTGGAAAAGTTATGGAAAACAATATTTTTCCCATTTGGAAAAGTCATGGAAATGTAACTAAAGTTGCGTCAAATATAATTTACATTTTATCTAATAGCTGAAATAATCTGCGGTCGCGAGCTGTTATGTGCCATCATGACGCGCATGGTGTTATTTTTTTATATATGAAGCGCGAGCCGTGTGCTCGAGTCTTCCTGCCTGTCGGGCCGGCTCCGGTCAGCTACATTATCTATGGTGCGTTCGTTAACTGTGCGGAGTCACTGTGGTACAGATTGCACCGCTGGCGAACAGCTGTTAGAACAGGCCGTTCAGGTGTTCAGAGCAGAGCGGCAGAGCGTGATGTGAACTGAAAACCTTTTCTGTCGCAATATCATTTAAGGAATCGTTGAGCTAGCTAGCTAGCATACATTGTCACTATCTGCTAACGTTAGCTTTAGCCTTCGTTTTCTAATAGTTTTTTCATAGGCTATAAACAGAGGTGGTATAAGTATAGATATTGTACTAGAGTAAAAGTAGAAGTACTCAGATCTTTTACTTAATAAAAGCAGAAGTACTCAGGTCTTGTACTTGAGTAAAAGTAGAAGTACTCAGATCTTGTACTTGAGTAAAAGTAGAAGTACTCAGATCGTGTACTTCAGTAAAAGTACCAGTACCAGAGTGTAGGAATACACTCAGTAAAAGTCCTGCATTCAAAATGTTCCTCAAGTAAAAGTAGAAAAGTATTTTCATCAAAATATAGTGAAAGTAGCGACAGTAAAAGTAGTGATTGTGCAGATTGGTCCATTTCAGAATAATAGATATGATATGTTTTACAATGATTGATCATTAAAGTGTTCTCAAAGCTGGTAAATAGACCCTCCAGAAAAACGCGGGCTAAAATCCTTGATTATGCGATTAAACATGCAGGGTTTTTATGTGATTTTATGTGGTGA